TGGATTGATACGGTGGCTGCGATGATGGGCTCGAGTATAGCAGGGATTGTGGGGCTGGCACGGGATCGGGCAGTGTTTCATTCTGCTGTGCATGGTGTCGCTATGAGTTGGAAATGACTCGACGGCACTTAACAACATCTGCTTTTTATAGTCTTCCTATATGTCTCCCTTGGTGTGAGTAGACCTTTTCTACTGATGGTAAACCTCTCTGAAACTAAATAGAATTCTACCTTCTAGTTTGCTGCTTCTAAACCATGGACTAGGAAAAGCAGCTCACTGAGCTTAAAAATTCTAACTAGTACAAATAAATCATAACTCATTTCTGAATGAAGGGCTCTTCTGGGAGTAAAATGTTGTTATTGTTGTTATGTGCCATCAACTTGGACCCGATTCATAGCGATCCCTCCTTGGGTTTCCGAGGTGGTATCAGTATGGAAGCAGATTGCCCTACCTTCCATCTGAGGAGTGGCTGGTGGGTTTGAACTGCCAGCCTTCCGGTTAACAGTCAAGTGCCTTAGGCACTACGTAATACAATCATCATACAGGGTCATCAAGGCAAATAAATGGAAGATATGTCATAAAAGGTATATTTAAAGAAAATTTGCTGGAAACAGATCTGCATTGTCCTTAGTTCTTGAAGGATATTCAAAAAGACATTCTCTAAGAAGACTGAAGTTTATTGGGAAGGCCATACAATCTATGCTTCTTTTTTGGAGAAGGCAAAGCCCCTGGCCAAGACTGTCCCACGCAAGTACCATATCAACTGGATATTAACTAATACTGCCATCAAGTAGGTAAGGAATCTGTATTTATTCATGAGTCTGAGCTCCAAAAAAGGACTGGAAGTAGTTTCACAAATACTGTACATATATTAATAAAGGAGACTGAAAAAAACATGCAGATTAGGTCATCTGACTGAAAAGAAAATATGGGTAGGACAGTAAGATAAACCAAGAGTCTGTTACAAGATTGAATTATGAGATAAAAATACATCAACTGCTTAGGAAAAACTACAGTGACATCTAAGATTAGTATCTCATATAGGTCCTCAAGTAGGGTACATTATAATGTAAAGGACGAAGTCTTCAATAACAACTGTATGGATACATAAAGTTGAGTTTCACATAGCTGTTTCTTACAGTAACGTAATCTCATAACAAACTATAATAAAAGCAATGTGGCTGAAACATTCAGCTTTCTGATGGTCTGCCTTGATCTAAAAATAAAATTTCAACTGGATGGCACACAACAGCATATTCAAAGTATATAGTAAACAAACAAAAATACCTTGTGAAGCCTTTGTGCACATGCTTCCAGTTGTGGGCAAAAAGCTGGATAAACAAAGTCCATGTACATGAGATCTAGGCCAGGGAACCAAGTGTTGCTGCTGACAATGAGATCCTGATGCTCCTTAATGTTGTCCACTATTTGTAGCACAGACACACAAAGGCCATCCTTGCTCTGTCACCACACTCAGCACTCATTTTCCCTCAAGTCTGCCCAAGGGCTTCTAGATATTTTTCTTCCTAATCCCAAGTCCCTCACCTCTGGAACAAAGCCATGAACATTTATGGTACTTTTCTCCTATCAACACCTCTTACATTTCCTGGCCCACTCCAAGCAATATTCACTCAATTCCTTCCATAAAAGCCAGCAATAAAATCCAATTACTAATTAATTAATTAAAAAAAAAAGTTCTTTATGTGAACACCAAACTACAGGTAATTTTACTCTCAGAGGCACTCCTATGTTATGTCTTTCCCATTTCTAAGCATTTTTTTTATTTCCAGCTTTTTCCCTGATGCACTGACATTATTCCCAACATCAGTAAATATCTATTAAAGAAGTTTTAGATTGCTACCTACTTTTGAATCTAGTTTTTGTTTTACATATGCACCATTTGCTGCTGTCAAGACGTCATTTATCAGGATAAAAACATATCCTTCCAGATCAAATGCCAAGTCAGAGCTGCAAAACATTAGTAACAATTAGTAACAATACACATTTAAAGAACCTGCATTTAGTTTTAAATATGCTCAAACTACAATATTTGCAACAATATATTCTTATCTAGGTAAATGAACATTAGGCATTTTATCAGCTACTATAATTCCTGATTCCTGGTCAGTTTCCAATTTCATATTCAATAAAGGATTCATCAGAAACAAGCAACCCTAAAACTTAACTATTATTAGTAATAATCATTTCTGTTAACAGCATACTGCTTTGAATGCAAACTTAAAAAAACAAGAAACCAAATTTACAATTACAGTACATCTGTGAAGTAGGCAGAAGGCATCAGATCTCAACTTCATAGACAAGGAAACCAAAAGGATGAAGTTATTAAGGTTATTTCCCAAAGAGTCACACAAAGGGTTCCATCATCTTACAAAGATGGTTGGGCCACTGAGTAGAATTTCCAAAGGGTACATCACACTTAGATCTGATATCAACCTAGACCAATGTTTAAGTACATAGTAGGAGCACTAATATTTTAAAAATTGCTAATTGTAAGTAGATTTGGGGAAAACACAATTTCTGGTAGCTAGTAGAGTACCACGCAGAAGAACAGAACAAGCAAATTTAACAGAATAAATGAAAACCCCCCAAAAGTATGCCTTCATCATACTTCAGCACCCTGGCTAAAATAGTGGCTAAATAGCTTACATTAGCATCTATAATTCTGAAAAGATACTATACACTTATAGTAAATCACATGGAACCTAGACTTCTGAAGAGCTCTATACCACTGAAGGTTTAGACAAGATCAGCCTAATACACAAGGAGCCTTATTGGCACAGTGGCTAAGCAGCTAGGCTGCTAACCAAGAGGTGGGCAGTTTGAACCCACCACCTGCTTCACAGGAGAAAGATGTGGTAGTCTGCTTCCATAAAGATTACGGCCTTGGAAACCCCATGGGGCAGTTCTACTCTGCCCTATAGGGTCAGGATGAGTCAAAATCAACTCCAAGACAGCGGTAATAGGAGCCTAAAGCACACCTCTCTCCCCAAGCAACCATTACCTGACTATCTTCAGATTTTTCCCAATCTCTTTAATAAGTCAAAAGCTGTAGTAAGACAAAGCTGGTTCAGATAGCAATCCTGCTCAGAAACTTATTAAAGGCCAGAGTAAGCCTTGAGGAGACTGGTTCAACTTTAGGCTTCATCAGCTTTAAGGAAATGTTTCAAAAACTTGCAGGGCACTATTCTGGTTACCTAGTGCTGCTCTGACAGAAATATACCACAAATGGGATGGCTTTAACAAATAGGAGTTTATTCTCTTACAGTTTGGGAGGCTAGAAGTCCGAGTTCTAAATGCCAGGCTCTAGGGGCTGGGTGAAAGCCCCTCAACCTTGGGGTCTAGCTCTTCCTCCTGCTCCTGGACCACTGGAGGTAGAAGCATTTCTTCACTCAGACAGCTGCTGGCTGCTGAGGCTGCCAAGCCCAAGGTTGACAAATGAAATGGCATAGTCCCAATGTTACCAAAGCACACGGCAGGCCATTAACTTAAGTCCATTTTAAGTTCCAAGTCGGCAGAGCATGGCAGGCTGCTGAATAACGACACAGCTACATGCAGGGTCCAAGTGTGCCACAAACTACAGACCATTCACCAGGGCTTCTGCTTATATATACAGGAAGCAGACCACAATCCCTAAGGCAGCTACTCAGCTGCTCACAGTAGATTCCACCATGGAGATGATTAACAGTCTCATCGTGGGGAATAATAATACATCGAGCTGCCCAGCCATTCAACCAGGCCCAGCCAAGCTGACACACAAACTGAACTACCACAATTCCACCCCTTGTCAACTTGGCATCTGTATAGATCTCTCTCACTGGGTGGCTCCAGTCCCCTAGTTTCTCTAAGTGGTGAACTCATGCCCTTGGCCAGGCTGCTGAGCAACAACACAGCTACATGCAGGGTCCAAGCGTGCCATAGGCTAGAGACCATTCTCAAAGCTTCTCCTCATATACAGGAAGCAGACCACATACCCAAAGGCAGCTACCCAGCTGCTTCTGGAAGATCCCACCATGGAGCTGACTGCCAGTCTCTTCATGGGGATTAACTACCACCAGCTGCCCAGCCACTCAACCAGGCCCAGCCAAGTTGACACACAAGCCAAACTACCACAATTCCACCCCTTGTTAACTTGGCATCTGTACAGTTCTCCTCACTGGGTGGCTCCAGTCCCCTAGTGCCTCTAAGTGGCAACCTTACCCCCTTGGCCTGGCGGGCCCCATTCCTCTCCCTCTTGGGCATGGCAGCCCCGCCCCCTCACTCTTGGGCAGCGGCTATGGCTCCATCCCACTGGCTCACAAGAATGAGCAGTCCCACACTCCAGAACCAAGTTGGTGAAGGTCTGGCTCTTTGAAACCTAGGGGACTGTGGTGGTTCCACCCCCAAAGGCCATGTCCTACCCTTTGAGGCTGAGGCAGCTCTGCTTCCATTTCCTTGGTCTCTCTGCTTCTGCCAATTAATGCCGAAGGCAACCCACTCCACTGGAAAAATTCCTGCCCAAAAAGCACTTGGCTTTCTTTCTCCGTGGGCCAGCCAACCTGCTACTCCATTTCATGCTGGTCTCTTCTACCAATTAATGCCTGAAGGCAACCCACTCCATCAGGAAGCCGCCTATCCAATGGCACCCAGCTTTCTACTCCATGGGCTGGTAAGCCTGTTGCTGCTTAATGCTGGTCTCTGGGCTCTGTTACTGCTGTCTTTCATGCTGGTCTCTCTGCTGGTATCTCTCTGCCAGTCTCTTGGCTCTGTTTCTGCCGTCTCTCATGCCCTATGCCGGGAACTCTCCACCAGGGTCTTGGGTCAAGGGCACATTCCACTCCTGTTTCCACATTTTAGGTGTCCGTCAGAGCAGCACCCCACTCTTCTGGTACCAAATTCTGTTCTGGTTACCAAGTGCTGCTCTGACAAGAATATACCACAAATGGGATGGCCTTAACAAGCAGGAGTTTATTCTCTTAGAGTTTGGAGGCTTTAAGTTCAAGTTCAATGTGCCAGGCTCTAGGTGCTGGGTGAAAGTCCCTCAACCTTGGGGTCTAGCTCTTCCTCCTGCTCCTGGCCCACATGAGGTAGAGGCATTTCTTCACTCAGACAGCTGCTGGCTGCTGACACTGCCAAGCCCAAGGTTGCCAAATAAAATGGCACAGTCCCGATGTTACCAAACCACACGGCAGGCCTTTAACTTAGGTCCTCTTTAAGTCCCAAGTCGGCAGAGCATGGCAGGCTGCTGAATAACGAAATAGCTACATGCAGGGTCCAATCGTGCCACAAGCTAGAGACCATCCCCAAGGCTTCTGCTTATATATAGGAAGCAGACCACATTCCCTAAGGCAGCTACTCAGCTGCTCACAGTAGATTCCACCATGGAGCTGATTAAGTCTCATCATGGGGAATATTACATCCAGCTGCCCAGCTACTCAACCAGGCCCAGCCTAGTTGACACACCAACTGAACTACTACAGCACCTCTAAAAAGAAAGATAGGAGGCTAGTATAAAATTTCTCCCAAAAGAGGCAACATCACCTAGAGGGGAAAGCAATCAATTATATAAGTAAACTCTAAAATCCAACTATGCCATCCTCTTTTATTTAGGATGGAATTTCACTTGGAGATTTAGGGTTGAAAAGAATTTGACTCAAGATATTTCCAGTCACCTATCCCACAGGGATGTGATAAAGGTAAATGATTCAATCCAAGAAGCATGCTGGAAGTCCCAGATGGAAAATATATGTCAAGCAGAATTCATAAATGCATGCGCTGAGCTGAGTAAAATGTTGTAGATAGAAGACTTTTAGCAATCATTTTAATTTTCTGAATCTTTGAGTGTACATTTTCTCATGCATTTTAAAAGTAAAACTTAAGAAAAATGGAAAAAGCTTTAGTAATTTAATATTTAATACTCTAATTAAGTTATGGGATTTGTGACATATTTTAAGTGAAGCCAAATAAAGCAACGCTACCATGTACTAATCCACAAGGCAAATGACTGCCATCTGCCTCACCTCATAGAAAAGCAGACATTATTTTCTTCAGTAGCATGCAAATTAAAAGAATGCTGTATGGTTTATAAAACCATGAAACAAAGAACACATTCAAATTCTAACTCTGTGTTTATCACCTGCATGATCTCGAACAAGTAATTGAACTTAAGCTTTTATTTCATCAACTATAAAAAACAAAAAAACCTACTGTCATAGAGTAGATTCCAACTCATAGTGACCCCTACTGGGTTTCCAAGGCTATAAATCTTTACAGAAGCAGAATGTCTCACCTTCCTCCTGCAGAGCAGCTGGTGGGTTGAAACCACCAACCTTCTGATTAGCAGCCAAATGCCTTACCCATTATGCCACCAGAGCGCTCTAACTATAAAATAGAAAAATTATACTTATACTTCTCAGAGTGGTTGTGAAGAATATACTTAAATAATATGTGTAAAATGCTAAAAGAATTTGCCACATGAAAAGTTCTAAGTAGAAGATAGTAACAAATCCTAAATTCTATGAATTTAGCCTTTAAGAATCCCAAAACTCTGAATTTTACCAATCTGATCTTAATATGCCAAAAACACATAAACCTTTCAAAGAGTCTTTGGATGCTTTTCAAAGGTATGATTTTACTTAGGTTATGCTGTTGTTGTTGTTGTTATGTGCTGTCAAGTCAGACCCAACTCATAGCGACCCCTCCTTGGGTTTCCGAGGCAGTATCACTACGGAAGTAGATTGCCTCATCTTCCTTCCGAGGAGTGGCTGATGGTTTGAACTGCCAGCCATCTGGTTAGCAGTCAAGTGCCTTAGGCACTACGCTACCAGAGCTCCTTATAGAGATAACTGTTTTTACTGATAATTTAGTATCAACAATTATTAGTAATTTCTAATGTGTTTTTTCTATGAGTCAACATCTTACCTGGCAGCTACAAAGGCGCCAATAATCATTGCAAATACAGTCATCTTGATGCCCCAAGAGAAAGTCTTCCTACAAAATAAAATAATTATATGTATGTGTGTGTGTGTGGGTACATACATATGGATTCAGTTATTCATTCATTTTACAACATAGGCAATAAAATATAAGTGACAAACTAAAATAATTTTTTTTAAATCACACACACACAAATATATATATATATATATATATATATATGAATATGATGATATATATATGAGTATATATATATATATATGAATATGACGTTTTCTTTAGAAAGGTATAAACAACTATTATTTTAAATGTTTCCAAGGAAATGGATATTTAAAAGAACCCCTCTAATGAAGCAAAAGCTCATTTTATTAACTATGTCTTCATTTTTTCTCATTCTTACCATTATTATAAGTTAGACTGCATTTCTGTATATCGCGACCCCTCCTTGGGTTTCCGAGGCAGTATCACTACAGAAGTAGATTGCCCCATCTTCCTTCTGAGGAGTGGCTGGTGGGTTTGAACCACCAGCCTTCTGGTTAGCAGTCAAGTGCCTTAGGCACTATGCTACCAGAGCTATGATTTTGACCTGGCTTCACCCAGTGGCAATAGTAGGTATAGGAATTCTAGAAAATAAATCAATGTTCAGATAGGTTTCCAAGCACCAATTCATGGTCTTCCCAACTACTCCCACATATCAATTCCTATTGCAAAGGACAAAGTTGCTTGAGCTTCTTAAAAACTGAAATAGAAATAAGACAAATAATTTCAGTATCTGATACATGCTGGGCACATCTGCAAAGTGATTAAAGTCACTGAAAGACTACATATATTAGAAATTTAACTCACTTGAGTAAAACTCCTTCAGCAAACATTGTAAACAGGATGGAGAACCTTCTCAGAACTGTAAACATTGGCAAGCTGCAAAGAAAAGAGAATTAAGGTAAAATAAAGTCTAACTATTTTTTTAAACGAAGTTTCTCTAAATTAGCATCTTAAAATAATGCTAATCCCATCCTTCTATAATGGAAATTCCACGCTGGATTAAATTGTGATTAATTTAAACTCTTCAGTCTAGAAATAATTCCTATTTGAAATCCTAAAAAGATTGCTTTTATAAAACTATAGGTGAGAAGCATCAAACTAAACTGTAAAATGGTAGAGACGTACATCTATCATCACATACTAACAATAGCCACTCTCTTATTTTACTTAGCACCCTGGAACTATGAATGTGTTAGTGTTTAACAAAGAAAGTTCTCCTCCTCCCTTTCTTTACTGGACTGATCTCCCTTTCCAAATCTCCAAGTAACATCTATGAAAATATTACACCATACAACATTCCTTGAGTTTCCTTTTGTGGAAGTAATTTTGTCTTCCTCTAAATTCCTAGTGTTTTCTCTGCACTAATAAAAAAAATACTGACTCTTGTAATAGTGTAATTTCTGAATATACCTTACCTCCCCCAGGAAATAAGATCCTAGTACACTTCAAGGTGCCTTATATGTTGTTGGCGACCAAAGGTAGGGTTTAAATGAGTGAATGAATAGATGGATGGATGACAGTGGATGGAAAAGAGTAAACTCTACACAAGGTACACGCTGCAGTAGCTTGCATTTCTTTTCAAAAGGGTAATGAGATGGAAAAAGATGCCCTACCCAAGATAAATCTGACTTTCTTAAAAATATCCCCCAGAGATACCATCTTGGTTATTTTGTCAGGTTTATTGGGTCTGAAGGAAGTGGAAATGATCCCCACATATCCTGAGAGATCTCCCCATTCGGTCTTCCAGTATTCCAGAGCACTAGCTCTTGCAGAAATGGAGCCATTCTTTCAAATGGTTTACTTAAATGTTGCATTTCAATAGCAACCCCCCACCTCCGTCCCAATACACACTACATTCATAAGTGGAGAACAGGAACTGAGTATTAAGAGAAGACCTGGTAGCCCCGTGGCTAAAGCACTTGGCTGCTAAAGAAAAGGTCAGTGGTTTAAAACTACCAGCATCTCTATGGGAGAAAGATGTAGCAGTCTGCTTCCTTAAATATTTATAGTCTTGGAAACCCTACAGGGCAGTTCTACTCTGTCCCAGGGTCACTATGAGTCAGAATCACTCAGTGGCAGTGGGTCTGGTTTTGGTTTTCTTTTTGGTTAGGGTAGAAAGAAGAGCCCTGTTGGTGCAGTAGTTAAAACCCTTAACTACTAACCAAAAGGTAGGTGATTAGAACTCACCAGCTGCTCCACAGGAAAAAGATGTGACAGTATGCTTCTGCAAAGATTACAGCCTTGGAAACCCTGTGGAGCCGCTCTACTCTGTCCTATAGGGTTGTTGTCAGTCGAAATTGACTTCACAGCATTGGATTTGGTTATTTCTTTTAGGATAGTAAGACTGTTATTGTGGCACAAAGGTTAAACACTTGGCTGCTAACCAAAAGGTTGGAGATTTGAGCCCTCTCAAACTTGGCAATCTGCTTCCATAAAGACTACAGCCCAGAAAAGTCTTATGGGGCAGCTCTACTCTGTCATCTGGGGTGACAATGAGTCAGAATCAACTCCACACCACCCAGCAAGAACAACAAAATAGTTACATTGGATTTCCTCATTGGCATAATTGTTAAGTGCTCAATAACTAACTTACTAGCTGAAAAGTTAGTTCAAAGCCCCCCAAAGGAGCCTTGAAAGATAGGCTTGGAGATCTTCCAAAAGGTCACAGTTTTGAAAACGCTATGGAGTTCTACTCTGCACACATGGAGCAGTCATGAATCGTAATCATCTCAAAGGAAGCTAACAACAACATACTTATACCGCTATGTATAAAGATATTAATCATATTTGTATCAGGATTGCAACTGATTTTAACTACTTCCCGTTAAAAGAACAATTGCAACAGTTTTCGTGCTTATCTTTTGATTTTGTTATGTGGAATTCACCTAAAATATATTATCTGTGAACTGTACTAAAGAAGTGAAATACTGGAAACCTAGCAAATATCCTCCATTACAGCAGGTATGCAGGTAAAGAAAAACAATGAAAATTTCCTATTATATTATTTTATAGCATTTTAAGACCACCCAATGCAGGATTTTCTATTACCAGCAAAGTGGGAGAAAAAAAACCCAAACCAAAGAAAACTCAAACTTCTCATTTATACAGAGTTTAAACTAAACTTGGTGCACTCTTCATTATTTAGTATTTTAAAAGTGTCCTGGTCCTTTTGTTTTATTCAGAATCAATAACAATATGTTAAATATTTGACATTCAAATACAGTTTTAAGAATACATTATATTAACCTCACTAAGTAAAATAAAGTTATCCATACTTCAGTTTCTTTGTGCTGAACAGTCCCGTGATTTGGTTCCCAAAATATAGTAGAGGTAGTGGAAACGTCTAGAAAATTTAAAAAGGGATAACAAAACTCAATAATAAAGACAGCTAAAATAAGGTCCTTTCAAACAAGCAGTTTTGTTTATATAATCAAATCCCTTCAACTTAATACAATGATTAATTCTCACATACAAGCCCTCACAAAGCACCCCACCAATATTAACTCCTCTTGGATAAACGTTACCACAAAATAGAAAGTGAGGGAAGAAAGAAAAGAGGAAACAAATATGAACATGATCAAATCATGTGGGACAGAACAACATTTGCTTTAAAATACAATATATTATTAGCACATGGTTCTAATGTCAGCAGAAAAAGGCGAGGATTTCATCTTCATGTGGAATCAAGCAGAGGCATGCAGAAGCATTTTAAAATAAAACCAAAGAACAATGAATGCACGACACACTATTGTACGCCTAACGAGTGAGCATTAATTCAAAACAAAGCACAAGCTTCCCAGTTTATTTTCGTTTTAATTTTAAGGAAAATATGAGACTTCTTTAAAACATTACTGCATTTATTCTTTACCCTCCAGTCTATCTGCTACCGAGTGGGCGATTCCAAGGCTTCAATTTTAAAATATGCAAGAAACTGATAAAAAATATAGAGAGAGATTTATTCTCATAAAATAGAGTGTCACTGTATTATTATTATTATTTTTTTTTACCTTTCGAGGTACATTTCTGTCAAGGTCAGGAAACTTGACTACTCTGAGCGCCTTTCCCACCGAGAGAACTGCTACGGTGGCCACCATCTGTAAACAGGGAACACAGATTCACTGTTTCACATATAAAGACACATACAGAAGTTCTAACAACATAAACCACGTAATGCTGAAGAGTCCAACTAACCTGGCCAAGTCCAACACACAGTGAGGAGGGAAATCTACAAAAACGGGAAAGAAAAAAGGACAGAGTCAACAATCTCAAAGGTCATCCTGTGAATCCACTTTGTGAAACGGCAACCCTATATGTATTTTGATATCATCCATAACAACGTCTGTAGTTTATCCAAATGAAAATCTTGTGGGAAAAATCCCTGCCGCTTGACTGACAACCCCGCTGATTCTGTAGCCTTGGGCAGCCACTTGTCTCATCTTGTCCGATTTTATAGTATCAGTCGACTGCCGGCAAGGATATTTCAAGAAGTTAAGATATAAATCTCTTCAACGGTTTCACACCCTTTAAAAAAAAAAACTTCTGTATCAGAGTCCCAGTAACAGCAACTGAATAATTGTAAATGTAAGTAAGGATGTGGATGCGCCCATCCTTCAGGCTGTCTGCGAACATGGGAAACCACTGAAGTCCCAGACTCCGATCTGGGAGGACAGGGGATATCCCTTCTTCTCTTCCCTGGCTTGCATGTATAGAGGCCAAAAAGTCGCGAAAGCAACTTTGCTCCATCGCTTCGAACTGCAAGATATTCCAGGCGCTGCAAGAAGGGCAAGGCAGGCGTGCCCGAACGTGCCCCCAAACGCGTGCCCCGCCGGCCCGACCTCCGCGCCAGCAGCAGGACCCCGGCCCCAGTCCGAAGCGCCAACCCGGGTCTACCGCTCGAGTCGCCCCTGGCCACCGCACCGGGCCGCGCGCGTCGACTGCCCGCCCTCCCCCGCTCCCGCCCAACTTTGTTCATCTTTAACTTTGGCAGCCAAAGTCCACGGGGCCAGCGCCTCGCTGCCGCCGCCTCCCGCTCCTCCTCCGCGGCCTCAGCCGCCTCGGCCCTACCTGTAATTGGTGAGCACGCTCTTGTTCACCACTACGATGAGGAAGGAGCTCACGCCGTAAAAGCCAGCAGCCAGCAGCTTCAGGAACACGGTCAGCGTTTCGGCCGACGCCATCCCCAGCTCCTCCTCATCTCTGTGTGTGGAGGATTTCGCGGGGGCTTCTCCTTTAACCCGAGCATGCTGACGTCTATGAACTTCCGCCATGGCTGCGGCGGCGGCCTGTGAGAAGCGGCGGGCGGGCCTGGCGGAGGGGCCGAGCGGCGCGGGGCCTGCAGCGGCAGCTCCCGGGAGACACGCGGCGCCAGGTCCGGTGGAATGGGTCAGCTGCATGCTTGCCGCCTTCGCTCCCCTCCCAGCCGCCTCTCGTCCCCGCCCAGGGGCAGGGACGCCGGGGTTCACACCCCGGGAGGCTCGGCTCGGGCATTGCGCAACGTGGTGATCAGAGGGTAGGGGCCGCGCTGTGTTTGACCAGGGCAAGGGTTGGAGAGGGCCTGGTGAAAGGAGACCAGCGGCCCGAAGTCTGTGCAGACAGGGAGCACAACGCGGTGGGAACTACTCCGGGGCACCTGAGCGTCACAGCTACCAAGGACAGTCACAGAGCTACCAAGCGGCAACACGCCAGTGCGCGTGCACGTGCTGGATCTCTGCGGGAACTGTACCTTCAGGGAGGAGGAGGGCGCTGCACCGAGGCAGGGAGCCCGTATTCTCCAGATAACTGCCGCACAGTCTCTCCACCAGGTAACTGGCTGGCTGAAAAGTTCACAATATACGTTGCATGTGGACTTATTTTGAATGATCTTTTGGTCTCGCTTGTAGGAGATCGAAGCCCTTCAAAGGTATTATGTGTGGATCAACAATAGCAAAATAAGCAAACTGCTTAGGATGGATGAAAGAGCGATGTGTTTTAGAATCTAAAAAATTTTTTTGAACTTTAGTTTCAATTCTTGGGTTTCTGGAAATGTCCCTGGCTGGTTGTGTACTCTTGGTCCAGTTAATTGACCTCTCTGAGCATGGTTCTCCCCATCTCAATGGATGTTAAAATAGAATAGAATTAGTTTTCCCTAAGTAGTAGCCGTTACTATATAACAGGAAGAAGCTCTGGTAGTATAGTGCTTAAGGCATTTGACTGCTAACCAGAAGGCTGGCGGTTCAAACCCACCAGCCACTCCTTGGAAGGAAGGTTGGGCAATCCTACTTCCCTAGTGATACTGCCTCGGAAACCCAAGGAGGGGTCACTATGAGTCTGGCCGACTCGAGGGCAAATAACAACAACAACAACATATAACAGGAAGGCATCATTATATATATTATATAACAGGGAGGCAGAGAGAGATTTATAAATATATAAAACAAGGAAATAGCGAGAGAGAGATTTATAAATATATAAAACAAGGAAATAGCATCCTATTGAATTTTGATGGCAAGAAAGAAAAAGAACTTTAATTCTCTCAATGTTTAATCTATATCTTTTGGTTTATACTGGGAATAATTGTGTTCTAACACAAGGGACTCTGGTGCTATAGTGGATAAGGCACTTGACTGCTAACCCATAGGTCAGTGGTTCAAACCTGCCATCTGCTCCGTGGAAGGAAGGCTGGGTGATCTATTTCTGTAAAGATTTACAGTCTCAGAAACCCAATGGGGTCGCTATGAGTCAGAAACCACTTGATGGCAATGAGTTGGTTTGGAGTTTTTAACATCCCATAGGAGAAACTAACACATGGGATGTAGTTTTTAACATGGCCTACAAGGCTCTGTAGTGATACCGCCTCAGAAACCCAAGGAGGGGCCGCTATGAGTCAAATCCCACTCAATGGCAATGAGTTTGGTTTGGTTTTGGTATAACGCTCTTGACTACATCTCCAGAGACACTCTTCATATCTTCCTCTCTAACCAGCAGCACCACCACCCATCTGTCACTTTGTCCTATGTAGTGTCTCACATGTTGCTATGATGCTAGGATCTATGCCACAGTATTTTAAAAACCAGCAGGCTCACTCGTGGTGAACAGGTTTCAGCAGACTTTCCAGAGACAAGAGTGAGAAGAAATACCTAATGGTCTACTTCTGACAATTAGCCAAGGAAAACATTATGGATCACACCAGAACTTTGTCTGACTTGCCTGCTTTGGAAATGTCATCAAGAGGGTAAGTACCTGGAGGAGGACATGATACTTGGTGAAATAGAGCCAGCAAGGACAAAGGAGACCCTCGGTGAGAAGGATTGGCACAATAGCTGCAACAATGGATTTGAACATGCCAGTGATTGTGAGGAGGATATAAAACCCAGGGTACCATGAGTCAGTCAACTCAAAGGTAGCTATCTATCATATCTAAGCTGCAACTAACTCAAACTATACCCACTCACCAACTCTCCAGAGGAACCATGAGAGTTCATGCTTCTGTGTGTTTATTACCATTTTACCCTCCATCTTTTTGTTGTTGTTAGGTTCCGTTGAGTCGGCTCTGACTCGTAGCAGCCCTACGTACAACAAAACGAAACACTGCTCAGTCCTTTGCCAGCCTCACAATCCTTGCTATACCTGAGCCCATCGTTGCAGCCACTGTGTCAATTCATCTCATTGAGGGTCTTCCTCTTTTTTGTTGACCCTCCATTTTACCAAGCATGATATCCTTCTCCAGGGAATGGTCCCTTCTGACAACATGACCAAAGTAGGTGAGATGAATGCTGACCATTCTCGCTTCCAAGGAACATTCGGGCTGCACTTCTTCCAGGACAGATTTCTTAGTTCTTCTGGCAGTCCATGGTGCTTTCAGCATTCTTTGCCAACACCACAACTCAAAAACATCAACTCTGCTTTTTTCTCTCCCTCCCCTCCCTTATCTTTCTGAAGAACTCTTACTCTTTCTTCAGTATTTAGGGGAAACATTACTTCTTCTCTGGTTAGCCTTCCTTCACAATGTCTCTTGTTGCCTTCCATAGATTAACATCTCATCTTCCTGTCCCTCCCAACCTATCTTTGTATATCCCTTTTATAGAAGCTTTGGAATTAACATGTTTATATGTTAGTCTCTTCCACTAGACAGTGAGCCTTAATTTTTAAGGACAGGAACAGGCAGGAACACATAGCACACTTCAGATGTTTTTGTTGAATGAAGAAATGAATGATACAATAAGGAGAAAATGGCTGGATTTCTTCATTGGCTGCTAGCAGCAAAAGCAAAATAACCAGACATGAAGTTTGGAGACATTTCGTTTGTAATTTTTTTATTGTTACAAAGAGCCGTAACAAAAGCAAATAAACTAAAGGCTTGTATCACAAAAAAAAAGCGTATCTTCCCCTGTTCCTTTTCCATCTAAATTCTTTTTATTATTATTATTATTTTTTTTTAATTAGGATTTGGGTGAAGATTTACAGAGTAAATTCACTTTTCATACAGCAGTTCACATATACTTTGTCTCATGTCATTGACCAAAATT